CTCTCTCTCTCTCTCTCTCTCTCTCTCTCTCTCTCTCTCTCTCTCTCTCTCTCTCTCTCTCTCTCTTTTCAAACTCCTTTAGCCCTTAACCCTTCCGCCACCTCTTCCCCTCCATGGCATGTGACTAACCTCTACCCTCACCTGTTACGTGCCAGGGAATGAACGGGAAGGAACTTGGTCCTCACTTGGTGGAAAGCGAGGGCAAGGGAGGGGCAACCGGTCCCTTGTGCCACCTGGAAGGGAAGGATACGAGGCTATTGGGAACATTTGTGAAAACAAAAAGGAGAGCTATTTTTAAACGAGGTCAGTTTGACTCAACCACCTCCCCCGACTGCATGACTAAGGTGAATGCATGGGCTGCTTGAGGGAAGGGAGGGACAAGAAAACCAAGGGACCATGGAAGGGGGAGGGAAACTTAGGCTCGCGGGAAGGGGCGATGTGTTGACCCCAATGAAGATTGTACTTGGACATTTGTTTTTGTGTGGTCATGCGGAGGTGAGTAGCTTGGGACTATTCAGACGGGCTGGATCTACGGACGAGGACTAGAATGGGAGATTTGGCTATGGGAAAAGGACTTGGACCCGGCCTAAGTCGCGGGTGCGGGTTGGGTTTGAGACCGGTATTTGGGTGAATGTTTGATGCATGGACTCGTCTTGCGTGGGATTGCATGGAATGTCTCTCTCATGTGTGATGCGATGCCTGGAAAGACTAAGGGCGATCTTTGGTAGGTGGATGTCATGCTAGCAGTTCTCGCAAAAGAAAAAGGGGAATATTGCGGCTAGGGTTTCGGGCGACGCGACCTTACCCCAAGGATGCCGCCGGGGCTGCCGAGGGCCGCTAGGCGTTGTGAAAAGGTGCTTGGCCCAATGGATGACGCTTGGCCTGCGCACGAGAAGAAGATGAGACCTCAATGAACTCTCTGGACTGCCTGCGTATTGGAAGGAGCAATTGCCTGGTCAGACTTTAATGAATCAAGAAAACGCCACGAGTGCCGAAAAACTACCATCTTGACGCGAGAGCGGAGCTACATCCCCCAATGTAAAGCCCTCTCGTAAACGGCCCATCCCCGTCCATCTCAAAGCACTAGGCGGGGGTGCCCTTGGGACGAACGACCCGCGCCCTGAGCGTGAGCGTGGGCGGGTCGAGCCAAATGGGACCCGCAGTGGGGTCGACCGAGACTCGAAAGTCCTACAGCGTAAGGCCACTACAAAAATGGTATAGGTGTCGGGTATTGGGTTAAACTGACCCATACGGTCTCGAGGGGGACACCCGACGCATGACCGAGAACACAAACATAAAGATAAGGAATGTGGACTTGTGTATGCTCTATCCTTTGAGAGAATCAGATTTGAGGGTGGTTGGGCGCATGGCAAGGCCAGGCCTGAAGGAAGAACATGCCTGCTTGCACTTTTGCTCAGCCATCTCCTTTGGAGATGACTCTAGTCCTCCTTCCCTTGGACTGATAATCGTCAGGTCAGGGAGGCCTTGGGCAAGCCGCGGGTCGACCCTTCGTCTTTGTGCGAAAGAAGGGCTCCGGTTACCTGGCAGGCGGTTGGGATTCTGGGCTAGTCCGGGTGCCAATAAAAATCCCGCGGCGGAGCGATCCGACCGACCTGGGTGCCTTCTTTCCTCTTCGGAGCCCAGCGAGCTCCGTGCACCACTCTTAAATGCTTGAAGGAACCTCATATGAACACAAACAGTAATCGAGAAGGAACAATCCTGCCCTATGAACGGACACACAAGCGAAGATAAGGGAAAGAAGAGAGTTACTAGACTCCAAGAAAACTAGCTCACCCTTGAAGATGCTCACGAAAAAGAACCCGACACTATGTATGGAATTTAGGGGTGAGTGGCATACACTGTCCTGAGTGAAGACCTGCGAGCAATGGGTAGGACGCGCCAAGTGCACCAGGGGGAAAGACAGTTGTGTTATGTGTGTCCCATTTGAGACTTGTGATTGCATGATTGGGATTTCGAGCGTCCTGCCATTCGGAAGGAAAGGATTGGTTTGCGCCGGTCGGTACGGGATGCGAAATGGTCGTACTCTTTGAAGTTCACCGGGTTCCGTGTGTGGGGGTCGGGCCACCGGACTGTCAGGCAAGGGTTGGTCCCGTCGGCTGATTAGTAGCATTCTCACCCGAGCGGTCCGAGCATGGCTCGATGATCTTGCCCAGGTGGGGTGTGAAATGTCTTCAGGCGGGGCGGCTGCTTGTCGGCAGACGGCAGGGGACCACTGCCTATGGGGCAAGGAAGGAGCCTCGGAGGCGATTAAGAGCTTCTCGTAGCATGACTTGGGAAAAGTTGTTCCTTATCGGACCGATGGAAGTGAATGCTTGGACGGCTGACTCCAATTGCTCTACCGAGATGTGCGGGGTGATTCTCGAGATTAACGGTGGGTACACGAGCGGCAAGTCGGGATGGGGTATTCTGGGTAAGGAGGAAAGGGCGAATGCCTTGTCGAGACTTGAGTATCGCGCTCGCGACGGTTGACTGTACTTAAGGTATGGGGTAAAGCTCGGCCGATAGTAATAGTGGAGAGACCATTTCCGGGGAAGAGGTCGGTGAGGAGATGACCGACTTGTGTGCGACGTTTGCCTGAGTTTTGCCTTTTGTGCCTCCCTCTGTAAAGTTTGGCTGATGAATGTTGGATGGGGACCGAGTCTCTACTTTATTCTCAACCTCCGCCTAAGTCAGCACGAGTGAGAGAACATGAGGAAGAGGCTGGATAGGAGTCGGAAGAGGATGAAACTAAGAAGAAGGAATGCGGGCCACTGGCGATCGATTGGGGGTATGATGGGACAATGGCACTTGGAAATTGGATAAGAAAAGTTAGGGGGACCCGAATGAGGGGTCTGAAAACAACTCTCATCTAGAAAATGACTGACCATGAGGGGGCCGTGCGGTGCTCTCATGTGGAAAACAGGGTAAGCGCCGGGAAAAACAAGATGGCGCGATGATTGTCGCCTCCTCTCTACTCTAGTGGTCCGGAAATGCCTATAGAGGTAAGGGATGGGGTATCTGTTGTTCTCCCGGAAGAAGGGACGTGGACCGACCTAGAACCAGCCTATGAAACCGTGGTGCTGGACAAGAAGGATGCGTTCCTCTGGATAGAGACAATCTGGACCAAGGTCAGCCTGACAAGACTCTCACCCAGCTTGATGGACCTAGAATTCCGGGGAACGGTGGAGGCCCAAGGGTGGATCTACCTGTCTCAAGAAATGAAAAACGCAATGGTAGTGGGACTAGTATTGGGCACGGCACCGGATCAGCTGTTTAGGCAAGCGGAATGAGAGGTGGTGTGGGCTGCATGTCAGCGGGCAGAAATGGAGATGGAGAGGATGGAGGTGCGAGTGGAACTCGAGGACCGGAAAAATATGAGACGCCCCCTTAGGACAATGAGATGCGTGGTACCTCCTTTTCTGGTGGATGCAGTCTTTGGGACCAGGGGTAGATTGAAGCAGATATGCCGGTCAATAACGCACCTGAGATTGTACCAAGGCGCTAGGCACGACTTTTTTAAATTGTCGGTGGAAGCAGGGTCGTTCGAAGGAAACTGGGCGGAAGAATTGGCTGAGGTGTTAAACCTCCTCAGCGCGGACGAAATTTTTGTTCCCAGCCCGGTGCATTGGCAGATAGTTTACCGAAACGTGGCAGCAGGGGAAACCTTCTTGGAAGGGGTAAAAGAGATGTTCCTAGACGAGGAGGAGGATTTCAGTGATGAGGAGGACGGGGATGAGATAGAGGATTGGGACTTCTGAGGAGGGGCTTACCTGGGGAAAACGGGTTGTCGACTATGTGCAGGTAGGGAACGATGGCTCGGGAACTCGAATTATGGGACTGCACATGGGAACCAAGACGAACCGGAAGGGGAGTAGAGATGTCAATACCGCCGAGTAATGAATGGAAAGGGACCACATGTGATTGGCGGGGGKATGAGGTTGTGCCGGAGCTGTCGTACCTTTGGATAGAGCGTAGCTGGAATCCGTTGAGGGAAGAGGAAGGATGGGAAGAGATTGCGGAAGGAAGGGTGGAATCAGCTGGGACGATTGTTCTCTCGGAACAGGGCCGGCACCTGTTCTGCACGATGCTCGCTGCAGGGCAGAACCTGATGTGGCTTTTAGGGGACGCTGAGGCAAGGGCTCGGCAGGCGGGGGAAAGTTTTGCTAATAAAGGGTGGGATACGGTCAGCAGTAGAGTAGTGATGGGAGGACGGAAGGAATTTAAACCGTCCGGCGCCCGAATCAAGGCCTGGGTACCCGAATTCGTGGCAGACTGGTTTGGGGGTTTTGATCATGTAACAGAGGTAGCCGACACGATGGAACAAATACACGTGAATTGCACATGGCTGGCAGGGGAATTTTATAGGACGTCCTTGAAATACGGGCCCTTCCACGGCGATAGAGCCCGGAAGGTCCTCATTATTTTGGACATCGAAAGGAATGACCGGCAGGAGGTGGCCCCAGAAACCAGGGAGGCCATAATCCGCCGTGAGGTAGCAGCAACACCYTGCTATGTGGATGATGTGTTCAAACTGTTCGAAGTACTGTGGTCTGACTAAGCGCAGGGAAGTTGTAGAGCCAGACAAATATGGCAAAATTGCTAAGATTAGGGAATGGGATGTCTGGCCATTGTAGGGTTCAGTGCGGATCGCGAGTCGGGAGATAAAAGGCAAGCGCGTGATGGCACGAAGAAGGACGTTCCTTGAGGAGCGCCCCTTGGGCATTGAACCGCCTAGGGAAGTACCGGGTGGGATGGAGGTTAGCCTGCCGGCAACAGGCGAGGGATGGCACCAGGTGGCGGATTGGGTCGGTATCGAGCTTGCGGAAAATATGGTTTATTGGGTGACGAAAATTGAGTGGCGAGCGGCTGAGAATGGGGAATGGAACCCAGACCCACGGGGGCACGTGCGCGCAGAAGGGCGGTTGTATGTGTCGGAAAACGGATGGAGGGAGTTCGGAGTTCGGTTGGCATCAGGAGAAGACCCGTTGAGCATGTTTGCAGGGGCATGGCAGTTAGTATGGCAAGCAGGATTTGAGTTCGCAGATCCAGGGGTTGACGATGTAACAGCGGACCTTAGGGTAGCTGTGGCTGGGAGTTTTGAACTGCCTAGCGAAAGTGTACGAATGAGGTTGCCACCCTTCTTGCTGGAAAAACTGGGCGGCTTGGAACTTGTTAGACAAGCAGTAGCCGATCTCACAAGCCTGACATATGAAGAGACGCTGGTACATCGAGAATACTACCGGGCCTTCTTAGAAATGGGGCCGTTCAGCGGAGAGCAGAAGTACGAGGTGCTGCGCATCCTGCGTGTTGTGTTTAGTACCAGGCCGAGGGTTCAGGTCGTGGGAAGTGAGGTCCTGTGGGGCATTGTCCGATGGGAGATAAATCAAGGAATGGCGTACGTAGATGATCTGTACCGAGTATATAACCAGACGGAGGAGGGGACAGGTCGGTAATAGGGCTAAGGAGAGAGGAAAGAAATAGAAGGGGAAAATAAGTGTCAGGCTAGGAATCGGGGAGTTGTCCGGGCAGAAAATTGAAGACCAAGGGGAATAAGTTCTTTTTTGCGTGCTGTTTAAAACTGTGCAGGGGACTTCTAAGTCGGAAATGGCGATGAGACGCGCCCGGATGCCGCTATGACCCATGCACCCGCGGCCACCTACGGAAAACGGAGATGGATGGGAGGTGTCGCTCCCAGCAAGCTACATGATTCAAGGATTGGATACCGAGTGGAGAGTCGTGACCCTGGGAAGAGGTTAGGCGTTCATGATGGTGGAATGTTTGTTGGATGGTATGAGAATTAACAGGGGACCGGGGGACGATCTGTACACCGATCTTAGGGTAACGGGGACCGTATACCTGCCAGAGCTCGGGTGACACATGTTAGGGACGGAGTTGGCACTAGGGCATAGGTTGTTGTCAATCTTCCAGAGGGATGCTAGAGTACTAAATCGGGTAGGCCAGGAAGTGCGAGGAAGAAGGAATGTGGGGTTAAGGACTCGGGTGGAGATAGGAGGTTGGCGAGAGTTTAAGGCCCCAATGACTGGGCTGAGGTGTCGAGTACCTCGCTTCATGGTAGACCTGGTATTCGGCAGTCTCAAGAGGGCAAGGGATTTGGTAGACTCGACCCTGGTTTGGATCCACCTCTTCCGGCTGCAAACAACGGGCATGTTCTACGACGTGTCGGTCAGACCTGGGCCGTTCTGGGGAAACCAGGCCTGGGAACTACTCGAATTACTCGAGATCTTGATATTCAGATTGCCTGACCTGTCGTTTGAAGAATATGAGTCAATCATTATCAGGGAAATAGAAATGGGGGAAAATTACCTTGCTGGGTTGGCTGACCTGTTCGAGGAACCGGATGAGCAGGGCAGGCCTAAGGGACCAGCATAAGAAAAACGTGTTAGGGAGAAGTAGGGAAAGATAAGTAGACAACCATCAACAAAAGAGAGGCAGTGGTGAGTTCCGGCCGACCCAATGATGCGGCAGGGAGGAACTAGGAAGACCACCCGCTCCAAAGATTATGGGGCACCTGGATGCCAATAAGCCGAAAAGGTCATCCCCGATAGGAAAGCCACTGGGCTCAGGTACCGCCCTAAGAATCAAAGCGCGGCAGTAATGAAATGCCAAAGCGGTGGCGGCAAGGCTCCGGTAGAAGAAAACCTAAAGGACGCCCCGGGAGAGAAAAGTCAGAAGAATCGTACTGATTAATGTAAGACGCAAAAATATGGGAATAGGCGGATTTCAGGGACGGGACTAGAGAAGTTATGAACAATCGGCCGCCTTTTCGCAAAAAAGTTTTTTTCCATGTGCAAGTTAGGGAAAGAAATGGCGAAGGAGGAAGGGATCAATGACCAGCAGAGCGGAGGGAATCAGGGCACGAATGGGAATGGGGAACGGAACGAGTAATCAGCCAGGGATCGAGAGTCGGTCAAACTGGAAGGGACCCGAGAAGACGGAAAGGACGCCTCAATTGGAGAAAGCTCGGGGAAAGATGGGGGTAGCAAAATGGGACCTCAGGAAAATAGGAAAGGGGGAAACGATATGAGAACAAGTCCTCGGAACTCAGCAGGAGCCACCCCTAAAAAGACGAAAGTCTTGGATACCATTCATAAACTGGCAGAGATAGAGAAGCGGACCGCGGAATTTAAGGCAAGACTTATCGAGCGGATGATGGCCGGGGATGAGGAGGACCTCCAGGACGCAGGGTCACGTGAGGGACGCAGGGCCGGTCAGAATGAGGCTAGGTATGAGGGGAAGGATGATAGTCACAAAGGAACGCCTAGCAAGAAGGGGAAGGACAAGAGCGACCCCCCGGCTGAGGAATGGAAAATGCTATGACCCCATCCGCCATTGACAGCGGCACTAGCAGACTACCCGCCACGCCGAAAGTAACAGGGGCGTGTGACGGACTCTGGAGCCTTAGGGAGAGAGTGCTAGGATGGTTCGACCCAGAAGGAACACCGAAAACCAGGGAGAAACAGAGGGAAAGCAAGGAAGGGGAAGGAGTCAGTGCAGCCGGGGAAGCAAGTGGCTCCGAAGACGGTCTCAAGAAAGTAGTCGTCACCCTCAACAGGACGCTGAACAAGAATCAGGGGTATCTCGCAGATGCAAAAAAAAAACTCATGTTCGATGGCGCCAACATTACGGAGTCTCTAATAAACTATAAGAACCTAGCAGCCTTACTGAAATGGACGGAAGAGGAAAAAATGGAGCCCCTAGGACAGCACGTATCGCTAAGTTTGGGAAGGGACATTATGGCCATCGTCGTCTCCAGTGGATCCTGGAAAGAGACCAGGAATATGATGAGGAAATACCTGAAGGCAGAAAAAACGGCAACAGAGGCAGAATTAGTCGCAGTCCAGAGGAAAAACTATGCGACCTACAACGATTTCCTGAGGGCGTTCACGTTAGTGGCTCTGCGAATTCCCGGGGTAACGGACCGCATAATGAGTAAATACTTCCTCAAGCAGTTCTCCGAGTTTGATAAGGATAAGATTTTGTCAACATACCAGCAGACCAGTAAGTTCGAATACACGAGAGCTGTGGATTTCAGCACCGTAACAGACCTTGCGGAAAAGACAGTGGTTACTGAGACGCTAGCCCTACTTAAGGAAGGGGAGGTCATAGATCTGACCGGGAAGACAGGGGATAAGGTCAAGAAGGGGATAGAGAGCCTGCACGAACGGGTGCACGGGGTTAATAGCAAGATGGACAGAATGGAAAATGCGTTGTTAGTAATGCGGGCACAAGTGTCCAGACCCGCCCTTCCGCCTCAAGAGGCCGTGGTTCCGACAGCCGTAGCAAACCAGGGGTTTGGCAAAAGGGACCCGGCCAACGAACAATGCAAGTATTGCACCATGATCGGGCATTTTGTATGGGCCTGTCCGAGACTCAATCACGACATTGAGCGGCAGAGGTGTAGTAGGTCCCTCAAAGGCGAGATCCTCGGACCCAGGGGAAACCGCGTCAACTGGAACTCGCCAGGAGGGATGCGGCGAGTCGTCATCCTCCTGAATAACTTAGAGATAGCTATCGTAGAAGCAGAGCCAATAGCCAAGATTGTTTGGGACCAGCCAAGGGGACGGGGACCACAGACCAATTTTATCTTAGAAGGCAATGGCCAGGATAGAGTAAACATCACCACTCGTCGGGCCTGCGCAGAAAATAAACTTATTCAAGACACAGTAATGGAGGAACTCGCAGGGACTAGCACGAGTCAGCAAGAGACCGAAGCCGCGGAACAAGAGAAGGTCTATGGGAAGCCAAGGGAGGACGAACCGGTAGACAAGGTTACGGCCACAAAAAAGAAGTTCAGGTATCAAATTCCAATCCTGACTTCGCCAGAAATCGATGGCACCTTGAGTAAGCTACTGGGTACCATGGTATCGGTGTCTTTTCAGACCATGCTGCAAGCCAACCCAAGGCTGCTTAAAGGACTCAGGCAGCTGCTAACGCGTAAGCTCGTAGAGGTAGAGGAGACCCCGGAACTGCAAGAGCAGGACACGGAGGAGGCCGAGGTGCCTCAAGGAGTCTCCAACCTCCAAAGCATTCCTGGGGGCCTGGGAGAGTTGGAGAAAGCCTTTGAGGACATCCGCCTAAGCCTACCGAATCGTGAAGGTGGCGAAGTCATGAGGGCGCTACCCGGGACAAAGCTTAGCTTCCATGCATTATCAGTTGAGAAACTTAAAGTTCAAATCGGAACTCACCACACTGACGCGTTAGTGGACGGCGGAGCAGAAATCACCCTTATTCGACGGGATTTCGCAACGGTCACGGGGTGCACGGTAAACAAGGAAGTAGCAGGGAGTATCCGGGGAGCAGGTGGCGAAATTCCTTTCACAGGGTATGTCACCAAATGTGCAGTCAGGGCGGGAATCCGGGAATCCATCTGGTCCTTTCAGCGGATGACCGTGATGGAAGAAATGGATCACGACGTAATCCTCGGGAGACCATGGTGCGCCAATGTGGAAATGATAGGAATGCATCTGCACGACGATACATACATGGTAGACATAGAGGATCCGGTGACTGGTCACGGAGAACTCCTCCGACTCCTCGGAACTGGAGGGGACCCTCCGAATGGCAAATTGGCAACCTGGTCGCCAACATTCGAAGAAAGTGCACGGAAGGGGGCATTCGCACGAATGGAAGGAATGAGGGAAAGGGTAGAAATTATTATTGAGGAGGCTTTTAGCAAAAAGGAGTGGATCAAGATGGGCTTGCCCGTAAAGAAGAGGAGGCCAGAGGACGAGTCCCTGGAAGTTATGGTGGCAGAAAAAGAGTCGGAAGTCGGAAGTTATGGCCAGCCTGCCCAAACCAAAGGAAGCCCGGAACGAAATGTCAGAGGTAGTGCTTGAAATCCCAGATTTATTACAACTCGTTAAGGCCATCGGGTACCACAAAGTGGGGGTGGACCTCGCAGCGTTTGCCAGATTTGAGGATGGGGTTCGAAAGGGCTACTGTCTGAATGGGAAGCTAGTCAGCATCCAGCCCCGCGTCTTGGAGGTAGCAAGACCAATCCCGACCGTTCATTTTTTAGGAGAACGATCCCCGAAGGTAGTGTGCGAAAGTATAAACTCGTAGGCAAGAAGGCCAAGCCGGTCTCGATCCTAGTAGAAACGTCAAAGGAAGAGGCAATGGAGAAGGAGGAGGAAATCTTACGGGTAATAAGGGAGAGGCGAGCAACGGAAGGGCATCGCATACCAGATGAGCTAGCAGACACCATGAAAAAAGGAGTGGAAGGATTTCTAACAACGAAAGAAACTCAATTGATAAGAAAGGCATGCCAGGAGTTTCATTTAGCTTTCGCTTTCAACGATCATTAGAAAGGGCGATTGGACGCAAAGCTAGTTCCCCCTGTCAGGATCCACACCGTACAGCACGAGTGTTGGAATGATAAAGGGTCCGCCTACGAGTTTGGGATAGCAGCGGAGGTCACCGACCTACTTAGAACCAAAATAGATTCTTTCGTGGCTGAACCCACCGCATCTCCCTACGCGAACAAATGGTTCGTGTTCAGGAAGCCCAATAAGACGCTCAGGTGGATCCAGGACCTGCAGAAGCTCAATGCGGTAACAATCAGGGACACAGGCTCGCTTTCACAGACCGACTTGTTGGCAGAATCTCATGCGGAGCGCAGTAGTTACTCCCTGGTAGACTTGTACTCAGGATATGATCAGTTGCCGCTCGACGCGAGGGATAGACCGTATGCCGCAATGCACACCCCAGTAGGACAGCTGCAGATGCAAGTGACCCCTATGGGCTTCACAAATGCGGTAGCAGAAGCTCAGAGGAGGATGCTCGCCGTCGCAGGGGATATGTTTCCGAAAAAGTGTGAACCTTACATAGATGATAATCCCGTGAAAGGAGCAAGATACAAAGATGAGACGGAAGTGCAACCGGGAGTGCGGAAGTTCGTTTGGGACCACTTGCAGGATATTAAGGATTTACTCCAGCGATTCCTAGTCTACAACATTACTGCAAGCGGACCCAAGAGCATCCTGGACGTCCCGGAAGTAACCATACTGGGATTTCGCTGTGGAGCCTATGGGAGGAAACCCGATCCAGCAAAGACTGATAAGATCTCTCAGTGGCCAACACCCCTTCGGACCACGACGGAAGTACGAGCCTTCCTAGGGGTGGTTGGGTTCTGGAGGATCTTCATCAAAGGTTTCGCAAGGATAGCAGAACCCATCCGCGCGATGATTAGGGAAGGTGGCACTATGGATTAGACCGAGGATAGGGAAGAGGCAGCCCAGACCCTGAAAGACATTTTGTCATCCAATTAGGTCACGTTAGCAGCACCTTGTTTCAATGACGAGGTAGGACAACCCTTCATCTTAGAAACAGACGGGGGACCATTGGCAGTGGGAGGAGTATTGATACAGAAAAGCGAGGGGGGCAAAGAAAGACCAATCAGATTTGAAAGTAGGACCCTGAATTCAGCAGAACGACGATATTCGCAGTTCAAGAAGGAGGTCTTAGCAATCCTGGATTGTCTTAAGACCTTCCAGGCATACCTGTTCGGGAGGCGATTTATCCTAAGGATCGATCCCACCAATGTTGTCGGAGTCCTAAAGAACTGCAAGCCCATAGACCCGACTATTGGCAGATGGATAGGCTTCATATGGCAATTCGACTATAAGGTCGAGCGAATTGCAAGGCTTCGAAATAGGGCAGATGGGCTGAGCAAGGTTTGTATCACGCCAGAAGGAGTAGAGGACGCAGAACCAATTGACGCCTTCCTGGAGTACAAAGGAGGGACCGTTGTCATGGATAATGAGATGGCAGATCCGGCAATTACAACAGGACAGTTGTTGATTCAGACCTTGGAAAAGGGCGCATCTGCAGTAGTTGCAGAACTCAGGGAAGGACCACTCACCACGGTTAGGCGTAAAGAGGAAAAAGACTCGTGGGGAGCAGAAGTAGGGGTCAGAGAGGAACTGATGGCAATGACCGTGGAGGGGGGACGAGACGTCGTGATGACGTTAGCCGAAGCTTGGGCGCAGAAGGAGTGTCAGTATCTAGTCAACCTCACTCGGGAGGAACAGGGTACGGATCAAAAGGAACATAACTTCTTCCTCATACAGATGTACGAGGGCATCTTTAAAGAAATCGGTCTGTTACTTGTAGGGAACAAACAACCCACGGAAGTCAGTCCCAAGGCAAGGGAGGAAGTCGAAAAGTATGTCCTAAGAAATGGTCACCTGTTCAAGAAAGAGGAAGGGATGACACCTAGGCGTGTCGTTTGTGGGAGGTCTAGGCAGCTGGACGTAATCCAGGCAATGCATGACGGGTTAGCTGGAGCTCACCGGTCATCCAAGGGGACACTTGCAAAGATCGTGCCCCTGTACTTTTGGCCACAGATGGCAGGCATGGTCACAACGTATTGTCAAACGTGTCTGATATGTCAAGAAAGGAGCGCCGTACGAGTTTACGAGCCCCTTAGACGCACCTGGGTACTGGGACGTAGACACCTTGTTCACCTCGACCTTGCCGTTATGCCCGTATCAACGGATGGGTTTAGATACATCTTGGATGCAAGGAATAATCTCAATGGCTATGTGGAAGTCATAGCCCTCAAGAAGAAGACGGGGAAAACGGTGGCCAACTGGGTGGAAGATTTCTACCTAAGGCACCCCTTCGTGCGCAGGTTTATAGCAGACAATGGGACAAAATTCGTTAACCAGGAAGTGTTGAACAAGCTTAAGACACTGTGTGTACCGATCAAGATTACTAAGTCCTACCATCCTGAGGCAAATGCACCAGTAGAAAGGGGTCACCGGACTTTGAAGAATACAATCGCAAAGTTGGCAGCAGATAATTTGGGAAATTGGCCACGGTTTCTCAAGCAGGCAGTCTTCGCCGAGAACATGACTCCAAAAAGAACAACGGGATGTATTCCAGCAGAACTCTGGTACGGAAGGGAGATCGATTTTTCGATAGAAGCTTTGGTCCCTACCTGGAACAGGCTAGATGACGATCCACACTTGAGCACGGAAGAGTTAATCACCGCACGTTGTCAGCAGGTCGCCAGGAATGAGGAGGCACTCGAGGAAGTAGTTAATCGGGTGACGGACAGCCGAATGAGGGATAAAGCAAGATGGGACCAGGTTAAGAACATTCGGAAGGAGCCACTCCCAGTGGGGGAAAAGGTGCTAATTAGGAACTCGGCTCTTGAAAGCACATGGTCCGGGCAGCTGAGAAAAAGATTCAAAGGGCCCTACATGATCGCTGAGCGGGTGGGACTGAACACGTTTGAACTTGAGGATCTTGATGGTACTAGCATAAGAGGGTCATTTCCGGGACAGAGATTGGTCAGATTTTTTTGCAGGGACCCGGTGGAACAGTGGCTACAAAAAGCCCAGGACAGGGAACCTGGGGAACTGACAGCCTGAAAGGCAGGCAGCTGGCTATAAGTTCTGGACCGCCTCCCTGTGGGAGTGATCATGACCACGGGGATCGTTCGTTTGTGTGTCTTGACATTTGTGTAACATGGGAAGACTGCCTGGGCTGACTGTGACTGGGCCTGGGAGCACGGGACAGTGTATTATAGTTTTTGTGGCGTAACGTTGGGGACTGTCTACGCGAGGTACTTATGGGTTGGGACAATGTACCATAGTTTTTTGGGTAGGAGGGGGGTGATGCTGTGGACTGCCTACATGGGGCACCTATGTGTTGGGACAACATGTCGCGGGTTCTAAGGGATAATGGGGCTACCAACTATGTGGGGGCAAGCAAGAGTTACGGGGGAACTCCCAAAGCTGCGAATGGGAATGGGACGGAGTGTGTGTGCATGAGGGGCATGAGACTGTTATCCATGAACAGGGTCAGGCAAAAAAGAAGTCAGCAGCAGGAAAACAACAAAATGGAGTTTGAAAATGAGAACGACAGCAATGCAATTAACAGGCCGGAAGAGGGACAATCCTCAAGACAAGCCGGAGAGTCAAGCTCCAGGAAAAGGAAGTTGTACGTGGGGTTCGATCACAATCTAGTTGTGAACAGGGGGGGTAGGAAGCAAGGAACCAGGGGGCCATCGCCGCTAAAGGAAGGGGAGCCAATAGAATTGCCATCAGACAGTGACCTTAGTAGCAAGGAAGAGGGGAACCCGGAAAAAAGGCGAAGGCTGGAAGAGGGGAATGTAGAGGAGGGGCAATGGTTGGGAGAGAATGAGCCAGTTGAGTTCATCGACCTCACCAGCGATGAGGAGGATGATGAAGTGACAACGCCTACTAGGGAAGAACGGGGGAGAGGGGAGCAACCGGGTGAGAAGAAGGATAAATGGATAAAAGAGTTCGGAAATGAGTTCAGCAATTGGTTTGATCAATGGGGCACCATCTTGCGATACCAATGGATTATGAAGGCAAGGGAAAAGCTGGGCAGGGGAGAGGATCTATCCCCAACAACGTTCTTCACATAACAGACGCTCCTCCAATTCCAAGCCATAAAGAGGCAAATGGAGCAGGAAGGAGAGAATCGTGCAAGGAGCGAGGTTCAACGCAGGCCACCTGGATGATAGAGGCACAGCAGTCTCTATCTTTGTGGAAGGGTTTGGTTCCGGGGCAGTCAGAGCTGCCATTTTGGATTTCGCATTGAAACTCTTTGGAATTTTCTAGGCCCGAAGTGACTAAGGACTGGGTTGTTAGCGCTACTTCGTACAAACGGTTGCACCTTCAAGGAAAAGGCATGAGGGTTTTGCACTTAGAATAAAATTCGGGATGGCTGGGTAGATTAAGGGAAAGAAAAACCGGAAACAGCGGGGATCTAGACGAAGACGAATCTGTAATGTTTGTCTTTGCATTCGAACTCTGTCTCTTTATTTTTCCGTCTAAAGACTGTAAAGAAACTACTTTTTGGGATTAAGAAAGTTAGTAGAGGGTGGGTGATCAAGGTTACTTTGTATAAGTATTTGCTCCGTTTGGAAAGTATGAGGTTTTTTTTTTTTCGATAGGAAGAAAGGGATTGGGGGTTGATTGACGTTGTCTCAAGGGGGTGGGCAGGGGCATGTGAACTTTTGAACGTTGGAAGGAACATTCAGGGCAAAAGTCTTTCTTTTTGAGTTGTGCATCCATGATTGAATGAGCCGTGGCATGAGTCCTTGTGAGAGGTGAGGGGACCTATGGGTAGAAAGACACCCTCTCCCTTAGGAACCTAATCCAACCTACCCCAGGCAATCCCAAAGCATTGAGAAGCATATGAGAAGTCAGAAAAGTGACAGGGAAACATTGAAATGATGCAACATGCCTTGCAATGGCTGAACGATCGGGCGGGCTAGTGCTGCTTGGGGCTGCGAGCCTCAACTTGAGTACTAGACGCTAAGTTGCATGTATGGACGGAGGTAAGAATGACAAAAGACACGAGGAAAAGGAAGAACCATGCGTAAAACCCCAAGATGATGGCCGCCCTCTAACCCCCGAGACGAGATCGGATCCGTGTCCTCGAGGCCCACCCCCTCGGGCGTTAACATTGAAATGGACAAGGATGACCCTAACCAGGCTGTCCAATTGAAATGGATAAGGATGACCCTAACCAGACTGTCAAATTGAAATGGATAAGGATGGTCCTAATCAGTCTGTCCGATTGCAGTAGATAAGAATGACCCTTACCAGGCTTTTCGATTTGGAATTGGAAAGAACGTCCCAAAACAGGTTGTTCGGAATGGCCCCTGACAAGGGTCATTCTTTGGAATTGGCACTGGGGTCCCCTTGCATGGTTGCTTGAGATGCATGACATTGGAAGAGTCGAGCCTCTGAAAAGATATTGGAAAGTGCGGGGCATTGGAAAAGATATTGGAAGAGATATTGCATTGAGCATTGAACTGAGATTGAGCATTGGAATTGGAGTGAGAATTGGAAATTGCATTGCATAAACAGGGGACCCTAGGCGACCTGAAATGGATTTGGAAAGAGCCTTGAAATGAAATTTCTCTTTTTTCCAGTCTTTGGCCTCAGCAAGAGGGGGATACCGGTACATGCACCGCGACCCCAAGACCTCTATCCCTTTGAGGGAAAAAGTCTCAGCGCGACCCGTTCCTCTTCGAGAGGGTGAGGGTTAAAGGACTAAGGCACCTACCACTTGGATTGGTGCGAGATGTCCGGAACCACCTCCGACAATGAGCTCTAGTCGGGGAATTCCAACTGCGCCTCCAGTTGAATGCCTAAACGTCAAAGGGCGGGAGAGCCAAATGGGCAGGAAAGTCATTCTCACCTAGTCTATTCTGCTACTCTCCAACCACACGCCATGTCATAGAGGGGTGGCATGGTCGTCTGGGTCGGACCACGGATGCCCGCACTAAGTTGGGCGGCACTGTCCACATCGGGGCATTCACACTGCCCTGCCGAAACATTACAACCGTTTCGGGACTAATTGCGAGGTCTTCGTAAATACACTCGCGGACTGATCGAGAGTCCCAACTCTCTTGAAAGGAAGAGGTCGGAATCCAGGAAATCAGCACTCGGGAGGAACGATTCGCGAGGAACGCTCTTACGGCTAGACGAGACCCTGAGAGGCTTGGATTGGACCTGCCTAGCAGATGCGAGGAGGAACCTTGGTATTGGTGCTCGCCACGTAAGAGAAGAAAGGTCAGACCGGGTAAAAGGATGAGGCGTCGTCCGCTGGGGAAGAACTGATAACTCTTCCTTTTGTGAAGCGGATGGGCTTGTGTCCTTGACTTGCGTTTGGTGGGTCAAAGGTCTGCGTACCTCCGAGTGAGAACCAGTCGCGAGATGGGGACATCGCGTTTTGAGTGGGGGGAAGGTGTGCCTTCTACCAATGAATACGCATGAAAATAAGACTTGTAATTGAGTTTGCATTGGTCTTGGAAAAAAGAAACCTGTCAAGATGGCGGGAACAAAAAAAAATTGTAATTGACTTTGTATGGGCCTGAGAAAAGGGGGTCTGGCAAGACGCCAGAGCAGAAAACACTTGAGTAAGTGACATGGTATAAACTTAAGAAAATGGTTTGGCAAGATAGCCAGGAAAGAAAGAGCTGGTGTGATGGATTTTTCATAGACCTAGGAAAGGAGTTGGCAGACTAAGAGTTGGCTATGCAATTGGCTCGTATAAGCTCGAAAAGATGAGAAGTGGCTGAGGGGTGAGCCAAGCAATCCACAGGGAAAGTCAATTAAGTAAAGGGTAAGAAAAGGCAGAGGATAATATGCATGCAGAATTGGCAGGACCTGACAAAGGCCGGGAGGAATGAACCGGCAAGGATGCATGTGGATCTGGCTATGTCTGAGCTTTGGGGGAGAGAAAAAATTGAATTGAAAATGAGTGGATGTCCTAAGAGTAATGAATGAGACAAAGCCAAGATGATTTTTGCTCGATAATGTTTTCTCAATGAAATGGGAAGACAAATTTGAGATTACGAATCCAGCCTTCAAAACATTGTCGAGAGCGAGAAATAACATACAATGAAAGACTAGCTGCAGGGCATGGCTGTGGTCAGACCCCTCCAAGGGACGATGCTAGTCAACTTGATAAGGAAAAGAGACATCAAGCTGCTTAGACCCCTTGATGTGTTGCTAGCTCGCACCTGGAGAAAGCCATGGCAAATGATCCTTGTGACATTCGCCGCCAAAATCTTCCTCTTACCACGGCCCCTAGGTAGGGTGATGGGCTCGTCGTCCTCTCCTTTGTGGGACGACACCGGAGGTTGGTGGGAAACTCTCGGGTATTCGGGAGTTCCAGTGAGAAAGACATACAGTTGTGAGACGGACGTTGATGCACAGAGAGTGTCACGCGCTCGTTACAAAGACATTATTGAGCTTGGGGACGTTACGCAATTCAAAGGAAACCCKAAACAAAACCTTGACCCCTCCATGCCCTCCCCCGCCCCAAGGGCGGAAACTTAAAGAAGGACCCGAGAAAAGAGTGGGAAAGACAAAAAGAACCCTGGCAAGCTAACTACCCATCCCACCCCGCCTCTCCTCCCTATCTGTCTATCACTCCAAAATTCCTACTGACCATGGATTGGTGCGCGATGAGGACATCGTGAATGAGTGGGGGGAATATGTCGAGATTAGTGAGTCCCGAATGACTTTCCGTCACTCGAGAGACTGTATATGGCCAATTTGTGCACGACAGAGAAAACCGAGGGCAGGAATGCTGGAAAGATCGGAAGCATGGGCACAGATAGTAAGAGGCTAGAGGCTACCCGGAGTCGTCAGGACCGCCAAACTAGAAAAATGAATTGTCTAAGTAGGAAGCAGCAAAGGACTGTGAGAGAATAGCAAGGGCGACACTTTCCCCAAGGACAAAGGAGGGCCGCCGGGAAGTTGGTAACAACGTAAGAGGTGCGCAACGAGGGAAGGGAGAAAGTCGGAAGGGACAGGGCGCAAGGCGCTGGCGTGACGTGACGGCAGGGGGGCCAAGGAGACCGTAGGACAGGCAGGAACCAGCACCCGGAGTGGAACAGCGTGCGGAACGCAATAGGAGCAGGGAGCGGAGATCGCCGTAAGGTGGAAGGACACCAGGAGCACCGAAGGAAGATATGGTATAAGCGGGACAAAGTGCCTGGGACCACCAGGACTAAGAAGAAGTGCGGTGCCGGCAGGACTAGGTGCCAGGAACCACGCGGGACCTAGCAGCGGCGTGGTATCAGTAGAGCGAAGTACCAGRAACCACGTAARACCAAGGGAAAGACGAAGCGCGGGCGGACCAAAGTGTCGGGAAYCACGTGGGCCTAGGCAGGATGGCYGCGCCAGCGGAACCGCTAGCARGGTAGGTATYGATGGGATAAAAGCGTCAGGAGCCGCGGACGGGGGCCGAAGGTCGGGACCGTCAGCAGGATAGTTGGCAACCGGCCGAGAGAGGGACACGCGCGAGCGGGTCATCACCCAGGGTGACGCCGGACGAAGAGGAGGGACTAGAAGCAGCACGAAAAGGAGGGGAAGTCGGGCGCTGACAGAAATTGTCAACGGAGTGAGGGAGACGGGCATGTGACGGGAAAGACAGAAAACACCTGGGGCAATCTAAGGGGAGGGCCCTGGATCAGATGCAACGACAACGATAAAAATAAAATAACATAACATCAGGAGGACAGGACCTTCCGGGCCAGGGGTCCGGATGAAAATGATAAGTGTCGCTGCGGCAAGCGCCGGCAGGAAGTGCCGAGAGGAAAAAGATGGAGGGGATAGTAGTAATGAGGGGTCCGACCAGCAGTCCGGGTTATTCCGGACCAGCCAAACCAAGAAAAACGGAGTACCGAGGGCTCCACGTGGAGAAAAAGCTGGCCGGAGAAAATCAGAGCAAGGGGGTATCGAAACTGGAGGCGGCGACAACAAAAAGGAGCCCCCTTGGACCTTGGGGGTGCCATTCCTGCAGTCTGGGGAGTAACGCCCATATGCCGGCTGCAAAATCAGACCTTGGGAAAGGTCCAACAGCCAGAAAGAGAAGAAATAGTTGTTGGACACTTGTCCCAACAGTAATGAGAGAAAGAGGGGAGAGA